AAAATCATTGTTTTCCTTTTCTTTTGCTAGATGAGCCTCCCTTTCTCTTGCCAATTGTGCCGCCTCATCTTCAGCTTGTTTGGTTCTCATATCAAGGTACCTTTCCATAAGTCCTTCTACGCCAACACTCTTCTTTTGCTTCTTGGGTTCTTTTTCTTCTTTGTTTCTTGCTCCACTAGAACTCAACAAATGTAGTGCAGGGAAAATAAACAACATCATATCATCGTCATCCTCTTCCCTCCTCTTTCTAGTGAGGTCCCTTGCTCTCATATCCATAGAAGTACTATAGGTAGCACACAAATTATTTACAATTTTGCACTTAGCATAACAACAAAAATTTAATCACACCGAAATAAGGCAAAAAGATCTAGAGAAATGAGCACAAAAGAATCACAAACTCTGGGAATTTATCTAGCACATGAACAAGACAAGGTAACCAAAATTATTGAAAATGAATAGCATCTAAGAAATACCAAGTCGTATGCATCTATGTTTCAGTAAGACCACTACATATTTCAAAACAATGTATGAAAAAACAGCCTCACAGGATAACATCTATGGTGACAAAGAAGATCTAGAAATTTTGGACTACATTACACCACTTCTTTTTTTTTTATATTTACATCACAAAATATAGATAAATAACTTAAAGCAAAGGGAATAAATAGATCTAGTACCTCTTGGAGAGGGTACAGGGTCCCACGAAGGAGGAGGTTGGTCTTCTCCAACTCTAATTGGTGCACGTGCAATCTACAAAACAAGCACAATTTACACACATCACTGACAATTCAAATTCAGCATCCAAGATTATAAATCCAGAACTAGAGCTAGAGCTAGAGTTACATAAAACCCAGAGATTAACTCCATGAGATCTTAGTATTTTGTTTCAGTCACTTTTTTTCATTTGTCTCCAACTTAGTCAAATTCAAACAGTCACCTATTTTTACTTCAAACAGATAGACCTCTCATATCCAGCGTTTTTTTATAGATCAATGCAAAAACTTCTTGTAGCCTATAGAAATAGAATAACTCAACAAGGCCCGGCGGCGGCAGCGGCAGAGTGGATGCGCCGACGCTGTGCTGCGACCAGGAGCGGTGCCCGACGGGATGGCGGCGACGACAGGAAAGGGAGAAGAGAAGGAAAAGCCCTAACCCTAGATTAGCGTGCTCACCGGAGAGGAGGAAAGGCAGCGTGCTCACCGGAGAGAAGGTGGCGGCCGGAGGAGAGAGCCGTCGCTGTCGCCTCCGGGTCGCCCCCGCCGTCGCGTCTTCGTTGCACCGCCGCCTCCTCTGGAGGGTTTTTTGGGCCGGGGCGCAGGGAAAACGCCGGGATGGGCCGGGTTAAAATCCAGACTGGGTTTAACCGAACTGACATATTTTTCTATGGGCCAGTATCCTTTCCACACCAGGATTATCCACGGGGATTGGGCCCCGATCCCGGCCGTTCCCGGCCCAACCGAACAAGCCCTTGGAGTTCGCCCCCACGGACCTCAACGACCGTGCCACTAAGGTGGACATGAAGGAAGACGACTCGTGGTGGCTAGGCGAGGCGAGGCGAGGGAAAGGCGATGCCATGCTCCCAAGGCCTCCCCACTTTCTTCCACTCGCCGCTACTTGACGGTGGCAGTCTGTACTGAGTAGGGAGAAGGTTGAGTCGCAGTCGATTGAGGAGGAGTGTGAGGCCGTCGTGGCAGCTGAGGAAGGCTGATCAATTGACATATGCATCCTCTGTTTCAGATTATAAGACGTTTTGACTTTGGTCAAAGTCAACTTATTTGAAGTTTGACTAAGTTTACAAATAGAGTACTCCCTCTGTTTCTAAATATTTAACACTATTGACTTTTTAGTATATGTTTGACCGTTTGTCTTATTCAAAAACTTTTGTGAAATATGTAAAACTATATCTATACATAAAAGTATATTTAACAATGAATCAAATGATAGAAAAATAATTAATAATTATTTAAATTTTTTTGAATAAGACGAACGGTCAAATATATTTTAAAAAGTCAACGGCGTCAAATATTTAGAAATGGAGGGATAACATTTATAATACTAAATTAGTTTCATCAAATCAATAATTGAATATATTTTCATAATAAATTTGTCTTGGGTTAAAAATGTTACTACATTTTTCTATAAACTTGGTTAGTTTGATTTTGACTAAAGTCAAAACGTCTTATAACCTAAAACGGAGGAAATAGTATTTAAAACTACTAAATGGTGTGTTTCGTGTGAACTTTTTATATGAAAGTTATTCTAAAATATCATATTAATATATTTTCCAAGTTTGTAACAATTAAAACTTAATTAATCACACGCTATTACCACCTCGTTTTGCATGAAACACTTAATCTTCATCTCTTCATCTTTATCTTCATCTTTAGAAGATTCAAACACCATATAGATCCTATAGATAACTTGTCAACTCATCCTGGCTAGTAACTACCAGATCCCTCATTCCCTCGCCCTGAGATTAGCAATAAAATTCTTCTTCTTGCCATAACGGGACTACTGGTAGAAAAGGCAGTATTGGCATCACCATCACGAAGATAGGCAACTCGAGACTGTAAGCAAGCAATGGTGCTCTCAAGAGAAGCCAGACCAAAGACAGTGGAGCTTGAGCTTCATCCTCAGCAAGTCCTCCCCACTAGAGAGGGCCCGCAAGCCCCTTGCAATCTCACTCCGGTGAAGGATTCCCTTACTATAGTCAGATGCACCTTGATGTTACCCACTTTCCTTTGACTCCATCCCTACAAACATTTACTCAACCTATGTAGCTTAAGAAAAAGGGAACTCAACCGGGCAAAACAACCTTGGGATTTTAATTGACGCCTATACAATTATATTAATTCCTAGCCTGCTGTATCGTAATATCTTATTCTAGCGAAGCAGTCTGGCCCAACAACCGTTTTAGAATGCAGTTTAGCGCACCCTGTACTCCAGCAAATGGATTTGTTGTTCTTCCAGATCTTCTATCATACTTACACAATTTTACTGCAGGAATTCGGGTTCAAAAACCTCTAGTTGAGATCTTTTGTTATATATGTCACTGAAGAAGTACATAATCTGAATTTGGAAACCATTAGATCAGATTATGTACTGGTTATGCTATTACAAAAACTAGTACAGTTAATGTTTTCCTAGATTCACTGCGTGTTCCAATTATTTTTTTTTATAAAGGAAGCTTTTATTAATCTCAGACGATTAATCTCAGCCTCTGTATAATTAGGATGCACACAGCCAAAATACATAAGCCCACAAAAGAGTTTGTAACAAGAGAGAAAAGCAAGGACAATTGTTCCAATTATACTGATCAATGCTATTTTATAATGGCCCAGGGACAGATGTTGAGCTATTTGAAAACCGAAACTAAAACAAATAGCATTATCTTCAGAGTTTGTCTTGGCAAACCAGTTTGTTTTCATTATTAGGTGCTATAGAGAGAACACAAAGCCGCCCGCAACATGACGATGTGTGGCAAGCAATTTCTGAAACATTTGCAGAGCAAATTGTGGTTAATACTGGGCTGAAATTGGAATATGCCACTGAGGAGTAAGAACATAAACCAATTTATACCTACTAAGAGCAGCTATAAGCCAGCTATAAACATATTTTAAAGAGATAAAGGAAGAGAGAGAAGAACAGTGGGCTATAAATCTATAGCCAGCTGTAGCGCGGACTCCAAGACGTACTGTGTGTATGACATATAGGACCAAGTATTAATAGTATAGTAAGCAACTATTGTATGAACAAAGTGAAACCCCGCGCGTTGCTGCAGGAGTTTAGTATGATAACAATAATTAAAAATAATGTATAAGATAGATAAGCAATATAAACTAACATAAGCACTAAAATCAATTAATATGATATGACTTAATTAGATAAGAGAGAAATAACATTAACCAAGTGAGGATGAACTTACATAGGTACATAAGATATTGTAAAAAATAATGAGGATATATATTGAAATATTATTTGAATTATGTGGAATGATGATTTAACATGCTTTCATTTTAAAAGCTCTAAAATGTAATAAATTTTAAATTATAGATAATATAGCATGTTTGCATAATATTAATATTGATTGTTAGTGGATGATGATGTGTCAATTTGTTAGTGGATGATGATGTGGCATATTTGCATGTTAAGCTTTAGGAGTTAGTGGGCTATAACTTTATAGTAAGATAGGATTGGCTATTATATTGGCTATATATGATTTAGAGCTATTAGTTAGCTATACTATTAAACGCTCTAACACCTACTAGCAAACAACACTAAATATTAATGCCTATCATTAATAATTATTACTCCATCTGTTTCATGTTATAAGGTACTTTGATTTTTTTTTTCTAAACTAAACTTTTTAAATTTAATTAAGTTTATAGAAAAATATAGCATCATTTGTAGCACCAAATCACTTTAATTAAACCTAATATTAAATATATTTCCATTTTAAAATATTACTGTATTTTTATTAACAATATTTAATTTTAAAAAATCAAAGTGTAAAACGGGAGTACTAGTTATTACCAGCCACGGTACGGCTTTCCGAAGATAGATTCCTCATTCCTCTGTGATGCAATATCAATGGTGCATATACATATTCTTTTTATTCCACGCCCTTTTACAACTCCCGATGCAAACAAAGCGCGGCCATATATTTTTCTATCTCAATCCGTTTAATCCACTTTTGTTCATTCATCAGGCCATCATGTCAAAAATCTATTTCATCTCACGCATGATGAGGCCCATCACTGCTACGCGGACACTGCACTGACTCCCTGTCACGCCTAATCATCATCGATTAACTAATCAAGCAAATCACTTATGCGGTTAAAATTCTATTTCCTGTTGCAGTTGCCAAAGCTGATCGCGGTATGGTGCCTAGTATTTGTCTAACCCAGCTCAAGACCAGATCGAGAGAACGCTGACACGGTTGAAAAGTACGATCCTTTATAACTAGCTTTCTAATCTCTTTTCTCTGAACTTTTGCATCAAGCCATGCCTGCTGTTACATTAGTAGTAGTAGTATATATATGTATGTGAATACGGTCATGACGCGATGCCTGAAAGTTCAGGAATTTTTCAGCTCAGAGCAGTGGTACCACGTAGCCTGTGCAGATGCGTCGTCGTTGCTTCTCACCGGCTGGCATGTTGATCGCCGGCGCAATCCTGTGCCTGGTGGCGTCGACGGCGCCGGCGCCGGCGTTGTCGGCCGGCAGGACGACGTTCAGCGTGTCGTCGTTCGGAGCCGCCGGGAACGGGATCGCCGATGATTCAGAGGTAAACAGAGCAACCGGCAAAGCTCTTTGCATGGACACTGGCATTCATGATCTTGATCAATTCTTGACTCGTATTTTTTTGATTTGTCGCAATATTTTTAATGAAATATAGTCAACATATATTTATATATTTTAAATCCCTAAATTAAATTTGTAGTTTTAATGTATTTATAATGTAAGTTTCTGAATCACATACGTAAGTTCTAAAACCACGTATGTAATTACACTATATTTATACTTTTTTTTTTCTTTCTGGCAATTCGGTTGCCTGCATACGCAGGCGCTTGTAAAAGCATGGAAATTCGCTTGCCGAATCCCTCGTTCAACCGTGTTGCTCCCATCAGGACACAGGTTTCTGATCTCGCCGGTCACTCTCCAGGGCCCCTGCAACACAAGGCTCACACTCCAGGTTGCTACCCCTCTCTCTCTCACACACACACCTCAAAATCCTGCATTTTTACTCTTAAAATCATGCACTTTTTACTCTTCATTTTTCACTTGGAAAATTCTGTTATCTTGTGGTCAAATGCTAATTGGGAAGTTGTGTTTTTTTTTTTAATAATCCTTTGCAGATAGATGGTGATGTGTTGGCTCCTCCAGGGATGGGGTACTGGCCAAAGGCCAGGAGGCCTCTGCAGTGGCTCAACTTCAAGTGGCTGGATGGCTTCACCATCCAAGGCACTGGCACTGTTGATGGACAGAGTACTTTGCTGAGAAGTGTTTCACCTGCTAATGTTTCTCAGGTTGGATTAATGGCGAGTAAAAAACTTGGATGTTTTCAACATCTCGAATAGTACATATATACTGGCAAAAAGAAAAAAAAACTATAAGCATTAAGATACTAAAAGAGAATATTTTGGCATATCTCCTGATGAGTTCTCTTTTTTACCTTTTGTAGCATTGGTATGTATCAGGAGTGAAGCCTACGGTATGACAAGAGAATAAGCTACAAATTCTCTCTCTTACCAATTTTCTGAAGCAAAATAGACTAGCACAGCATGACACATCTACTGCTCTCTTTTTTTTGTTCTTTTCAGCTCATAAGGTTTTACAGTAGCTTCAATGTCAGCGTGCGCAATATCAGGATAACCAACAGCCCACAGTGCCACCTGAAATTCGACAGCTCCGGTGGCATCAAGGTGAAGAACATCACCATATCATCCCCAGGTGACAGCCTCAACACCGACGGCATCCATCTCCAGAACACCAGGGATGTTGACATCAGGAGCTCCAGCATCGGCTGCGGTAATTAAACTTTCATGACTGAACTTACAAAAAAAAATTCTCAAAATTCAGACAAGCATTGGCGATATCTGAGTGTCTGAACCGCACGTACGGTCGTTCTGCAGGTGATGACTGCATATCGATACAGACGGGATGCTCCAATGTTCACATGAAGAACATCAACTGCAATCCCGGACATGGAATCAGGTAAGTAAATGGGGTGTTCTCTGTGGTTTTCTGTTGTGTTGTTGATGCGATGAAATCTTGTTTTGAAACTTTTCTTTGTCTGAATGTTTTACAGCTTAGGGGGATTAGGGAAGGATAACAGCTTGGCTTGCGTCTCTGATGTGTTCGCCGAGCACATCAACGTGGAGAACGCCTTGTATGGTGTCAGGATCAAGACATGGCAGGTAAAAAAAGATCTACAAATTCAGATACATATTGTCCTCAATTCAGCATGAAGAAAAGATTCAGCAAAATGAAATGGCCATTCACCGTGCAGGGAGGCAAAGGCACGGTGAGGAACGTCACCTTCTCCAACGTGAGGGTGGCGAACGTGGCGACGCCGATCGCCATCGACCAGTTCTACTGCGACGCCGGCGGCGGCGGCGCGCGGTGCGGGAACAGGAGCGACGCCGTGGGGATCACCGGCGTGGCGTACCGGCGCGTCGCGGGGACGTACACGTACCAGCCGGTGCGCCTGGCGTGCAGCGACGCCCGGCCGTGCACCGGCGTCAGCATGGCCGACGTCCGCCTGTCGCCGGCGAGCGCCACCGGCGCCGGCGGACTGCGGCAGCCGCTCTGCTGGAAGTCGTACGGCGAGGCGATGGGGATGATCGAGCCGACGGGCATCGCCTGCCTGCAGAGGAGCAATGGATTCGTGATGCCTTTAACCAAGCCATTTAACTACACCTGCTGAATCTTTGTATAAGCTTGGAAGCTTCTCTGACCAAAGCTGTTTCCAGCAAGAAATAATCACAGTTTTGTTGCTACCATGACAACCAACTTTGACAGCCACAATGTGGCACTGAATTTGTAAGGAATCATTGATAATGGTCCTATGTAGCATTATATGAATTGTGACTTTACTATCATACTTCAAATCACATTGATAGCCAATAGACAAGCCACTGCTTATTGTAGCCATGCGGAAAAACAAGGGGCATGATTGCATGAAGGTCCCAACTCGAAATGAAGGATAATAAACAACTCACCATTGAGGCCAGACAGGCTCCTCAACATGAGCTAATGAGCAGCACTTCCATCTTCAAATTAGCAGAGATTGCAATCCAAGCTTGTAAAAGCAGATTACCAATTAATCACAGCACCAACAAAATTACAGAATACAAAGACTATAAAAAGGATGGATACTTTCGGCTGTATCTCAACATGAGCTAATGAGCAGCACTTCCATCTTCAAATTAGCAGAGATTGCAATTGAAGCTTGTAAAAGCAGATTACCAATTAATCACAGCACCAACAAAATTACAGAATACAAAGGCTATAAAAAGGATGGATACTTTCGGCTATATCTGAAATTACAATGCAGTGCATCTACATTGATACCCTCTGATTTATGGAAAGAATAATGACGTGCCACTCCACAAACTTTGGCACTACAAAGGTCGGGCAACTGATCTACTGCATAACAATATAAATGTAATAGTTTGCTCGAAACACTAAGATGCAACTAGCAGATCAAAATCTAACATTCGTTTTACACTGGACATAAGTAACAGATGTGTATTAACTGTAAAAAAATGTGAATCAGCAGGTCAATGTCATGATATCACTGCTGTACATACAGATAATGTTACAACAGTTGTACACGCTCAACTCCAAACCAAAATTGTACATCTCTACCAAATGAAAGTTAAGCTGACGACCTCAGTTGTCCAAGGTCCAATTCTTCCATAATCACGACTGCAGAACTCCAACAGCAAGTTAATTGTAATCCTCACATGAACAGTCAGGCAAGAAGCAAGCTGAGAAGCATCATGGCGGACAAAAGCAGAAACAGTTTGCTATTTCTCTGTCTTCACATCCAACGACCTGAGCTCTTGTAATAATTCCTCATATTTCTTTCTTTCCAAAGCAATTTGAGATCGGAGCTTTTGTTCCTAAAGAACATGAGGGGCCATTTCTCAACAACAATGAGTTACAAAAAGAACACTGAAGAAATATGTAAAGGGGGCATCAAACAGAGTCCAAAATAATAAATGACAATGTTTCAGAATCGTGTTTAGATGGCTTTGAGGTTTAGAAATTTGAGAGCTTGTCTAGGGCCTGAGTTTGTTTAGATGTGTTTCAGGCACTGTGCATGTTGTAAGTTTTGGTGTTTCTATGTTTCTATAAGCTGTAAACGCTGTGTTTCGTGGCTTCTTTTTTCAATAAATACTAATGAATATTTATTTCTGTGATTGGGAAATAGTGACCTCGCATAGTTATGTCACTAATTTGCAGAAGAGCAAACAGCAATTTTGCTTTTCTTGGCTTTTTTTTTTACAAGGAGGTCTGGTGTTGCTTAATCATCCTGACCAACGCCCACTATGTGACCAGGAGGAAAACATGCAACATTTGCTTACTACATGTGTGTTTTTAAGAAGTGTATGGTTCTCAGTCTTGTCATTGGTGGGGTTGCAACAGCAAACATCAGGTCCAGATGATCTCAACTTCAGTAATTGGTGGTGAAAAGCGTCGCAGAAAGTGAGAAGCAACACCACAAAGGTTTCAATTCCTTGGTTGTGTTGGTAGCTTAGTGGTTATGGAAGCATAGGAATGGTTGTCTTTGAGAGGGAGTTATCATGTATTACTCCGTTTCATATTATAAAACTTTCTAGCATTGTCCACATTCATATATATGTCAATGAATCTAGGCATGTATATGTGTCTAGATTCATTGACATCTATATGAATATGTGCAGTGCTAGAAAGTATTATAATATGAAACGGAGGTAGTAGGACACTAGGGATGAGGCCATATTATGTTTTATGGCGGGGGTCAAAGGCCTTAGTAGCTTTTTCCCATAGATGTTGTTTGGGTCGATGGTCGTAGTCCTTTCGATTTCTTTGGCAAGCCCTTTTGTACTAGACCTTGCCCTAATGAGCTTGTTTGAGTCTTCTTAGACTCGTGCCCTTAATATAATGATGCACAGCTCTCCGGTGCCTTCGAGAGGAAATAAAAGGAAGGTAGAAATTCTGCCTACTTTACCGTGAATCCCTCTTCCCCACACCAACAATAATAATTCAGAAGCTCTGATAAAACATTGTGGGAGAAATTATGCATCCTAAATAATATGTTGAACCAATGGTGAGAGATACTAGTTGAACAAAAGATAAAATACCTTCAGAGCAAGTTGTTTTGCTGACTCCTCGTATTGCAAGCATCTGAGAAAAAAAATGCAAGTTAAACAACAAAATATGCAAGCAGAATTTGCAGCTTTGTCATTATGGTAAGTATTTGAACTTCTATTACATAGAAGAACAGTGGTAAAGAACTGGACTTTACAGCTAGCCAAATAAGGCACAATGCAGTTAAGGCACTAATTAAGCTGGTATTATCAATAGGTAATCAACTGACTGTGCCTACACATAAAGAAGGCTACATTAGCAGATTTTACTTTGAAGCCTTTCTTTAGGAGATAGTTTGAACTTTGAAGAAGCCTAATGCTTTTTTTCTCCCTGTTGGGAGTCAATGCTCAACTCTTCACTCTATTAGTATCTCTCGAAGAGTACATTCACACATTGTTTCCTCACACTCTAGAGCACGGTGCACGCATGCACTGGTACAGAAGGAAGAAGCACAAGGTATAGAGAAATATATCATTTCCTCTGTTACTCCCTTGCATACAGGCCAACAACTAAACAAGTGCAAAGTTAATCACTTAAATAATATCAAATGCATGCAGAGAGCTGCTACTTTGATTGTCATTCTATGCCATCAATGCTATACATGCAACATGAAGTGCTCCGGTAAACTGCCTTACTCGATTCTATCCTATGTATGCCATGTCCTCGCATGCATGCAAGACAGAGACTCAAATAACTCAGAGCAATCCCTATATCTGCATGTAACTCAAGCACATCATGCATACAAGAACAAATTTAGCATATGACCGTGTGCATAGTGCTAAAAACGGAAACAGAGGGAACTTTGGGTGCTATTAAAGTGAACCGGTCATTTCCTGTGAACCAAAAAACATGAACTTTCAGTGATCCAAAACCAATTTTGCCGAGGATCATGCACCGACTTAACCAAATGTGACAAGATTATTCCAAACACTTCTGATAGCTTTCCATTTTCTTTTTTATTTTATAATTCTCTTATCGGTAAAATGGGTCCATATTCCTCACTAACTAGTAACTACATCATCTATAACAGGCAATCACATGCAGGAGAAGGCCTGAACTAAATTGCTTTAATGCAGTACTTGTTCCTTAGAGAGTGACAAGATTATAATACACAAAAAGAAAGCACTGAAATGTGCAAGTTGGGGATATTTTACTTACTCGCCACGCAACTTATCATTCTCTAGTGTCAAAGTCCTGTATTCGTTAAACCGTCTCCGTTGAGAAACGTCCAAGTGCTGTCAAAAGAGGAAAAAATAGTCATGTAACAATATTCAGTAATTTATAGGCATTTCTTATCGCACACTACGTATGATTAAAAGAGAAATTTTCACAATACTACAGGTTTGGGGCTTCTCCCACTTTGGCTGGGATGGCCCATATATCCTGCTATTCTTCTTCTCTTCTTTGGCCTACCAGATTTTTTTTATGCACTTGGGAGATTCAAAATCTGTGGTTTAGCATTACAAGCACCAAAACATTGGGTTTTGTGAAATTTAATCTTAAAACAAAACTTGCTTCTGTGATGGTGGAAAAGATGGTAAGCATAGGCATAGTCCATGGAGTGTTGTGGTCTCAACTTCAAACTCAAGTGTTAAATAAAACAAAATATGTTAATAGCGTCATCCATTTTACTTTTCTATTAGAACCATTTATCATAATTTTCTCACGTTAATGGATTTGAACTTCAAATTTTACACATAGGACTCAGAAGTATTTTGAAAATCTTTGATGTTACTTTTCAACTCATACAAGCAAGAAGCATGATTACACCCCAAGCATGAGTTACCCCTCATATGTCATCATAGTTTTTTCAGATAAGGGAAAAGTTTTCATATGTAACAATAGTTAATAGAATAAGGTTTAGATTTTCAATAAACCATCAGCTACTAGTTTCCACCGCCTGTCTGCTGATACTTACAGATCCATCTTGGTCAGCACTGTCTGTCTTGGATCCAAGGGCATCAATATTTCTCTTCAATCCCATCTCTGTTAAATGTCAGAAAAATATTAACACCACAATCGATAATTAGAAAACTGGACCTGAAAAAAAAAAGTATTCGCTCTTTGACATCATATAAAAATTATTACGTTTTTGCCTTAATGCAGGGGCCATAAATGTAGGGACAGCACAGCTGCTTGTCGGAATATCAGCAGCCAATAGCTGACGTGGAACAATTGGCGGGGAACTGCCAGCATTCATCTGATTAGCACGATTAAGTGCACGGGAAGATTTAGGTAATTTTTTGTTGTCATAACCAATACGATGGCAATGCAGGTCCCTACAAATATAATCAGTTAGCATGAAAGTATGAATGACACAAAGTCATCATTCCAAATAAAGCACTACAACATGACAATGACGCAGCAAAAACCAATAGATTAATAAAAATTCAGAGATTGTTATAGCAGTTTTTTTTTTTGTTGCACAAGTTGTATAGAAATACCAGAAGACGATGTTGACAGATAGTGGCTATTGCATCTCAAATGAAGTAGTATTTGTCTTTGTTCAATATTGGAGAGCTAAAAATAGACATTATAGACTGCTGATTATTTTTGACGTGATACTTAGGTGAAAAATATATTGCTGTGCCTACCAGTCTAGATTAGTCCAGTTACCTATTTACTGTCAGACAAATATGCTGAAACCCTGCCAACCATACATTTTCTCTACTTTTTGGTTGTGGCTATTTCCACTTTATCACGTAAATGTTACTATGCATCAACAAATACTACTGGTATAATTAAGTACAAGAGTAACTAGCCAGCCTCTGGACAAGGCAAGGGCGACCATCTATGCAACTTTTTCAGCAACCATATGATGGTCGAAATCCCACTGGGTTAAGTATGACAAGAAAGCAATTTTGCAGCTGTGGGTTGAGGATTCAAAATCTTGAATTAGCAGAGTCAAATGTAAGCTTGCATCTCAAAAAAGGAATTATACCTCTGACCGAGGAAATGGTAAGACCTCAATCTTTTTGGGTCACAAATGCCCAGTATGAATTGAGTGAGAATGCAGATGTGTGCGCTGGTAGGTTTTTTATTCATGAAATCATGCACCTGCACATGTGTATTGCGAGCATGCCATGTACAGTGCACACTTGCCTGTGTCGTGAAAAAATATGTGAAGTGCATTGCTGTGGAAGCATCACCTATATTGCCATGTAAGCATCAACTATATATTTGAGAGAAATACCTAACAGAAGTTAAAAGCTAACTCGAATTTCACATGGACTCTGAGATGAGCATGTACTCAATCAATAAGTAAACTATTTCTTTTTTCTAAATAATCCTGACATAATCGAACTCCTAAAGGGCACAAACTGCATATACAGTATTCACTCATGCATCTTTGTGGCATTGCATGCACTGCTGCACACCACTACCACTGCTCATGTATTATTCTATCTCTTGCGGCTTTTCAAGACAGCTTATCAAACCCCAAAGAAGTACGCAACAATTAGAAACATGACAAAGTTCTGTTGAAATAGTTAAAAGAACAAAAACTTTACCAGTATTCATATGTCATTTCTTTCAAGCGGCTCTCCAGCCTTTGATAAAGGACCGACTTTTCAAAATCTTGCTTGTCATGGGTAGGTTTGATGAAGTTTGCCTCCAGAATGCCTGAAAATGCCAACAAAAATTAAAACGTATCCACTGCCATTCTTCTATAACTTACATTAACCACCCTGTTTTGGATAGCAGAACATCTCTTACCCACAACTCCTCGCCCTTTGCCATATGAGTTGTTCGCAACTTTCCAAAATGGCTGCCGAAAAATTGCAAGTGATTTTTACTCAGTAAATGGAAACAATATAAATATACCAAGAAAATACCATTGTGAAAATCATATCTAGTTAATGACGTCCTACGGAAATTTGTATCAAAGTTGAGCCAAACAGGTAATTTGATTTTGTCAAATATCTAGAAATAGTCCGGTAACAGCATTGAAAGAGTTTTCACTAGTGTACTACTATTATACAATTGGAGAGAAGGCAATGTCAGAAGAAATAAAAACACAAGGTAATCAGGACATCACATTTTACTTAAAATAGAGCATAAGAAAATAGGGTGGAACCACAGGTGGTAAGAACTAAGAACACTAAAGATGTAGGCAATGAGGAAAATGAGCATCCATTGATTTAAAAATGCAATCAGTAGAACATAGCCTAGAGTTATCAACCAACTGAAGGGAAATCGTCGATATTAAATGGATCAATTTTGGCAGGGTTCAATTCGTTGAATCCCCTGCAATTTCATCTAATAGTTATATCAGGAATTAAGATAAAGTCCATATACTGATGAATACCACTGTTCCAAATGGCGGTAATTGTCAAGGTAGTGACGGATCTACCACTACACTTCATGTATATTGGTGTAACATAACAGTTAAGTGCGCCATGAATGCACAAGCTTTCAGGCAAAAAGAAAAAGCACTTTGCTGCATGACAGACAATTAGACATGCCATTACATATTGCTTAGGATGGACATCTGCTGATATTTGACTTAAGGCAAGCGCTTCTCAATCATTAAGGCAATAATACCAGAAATTACAGAGAGAATATACTTAGCAATCCTTTGCATATCAACATGACATTTGTTGAACTATATGGAATTCAAGGCAATATTTTCGTATTTCAGCCATGGAAGCATTTTTTTAATGGAAACAATTTGTTGCACTCACTCATTTCATCCTTTCAAATGGAAAAATAGCACATGAACTCTTAGTGACATGCTGGGAGAGCAATAGAAAGAAAAGCAAATTAAACAGTATCTATCATGAGTCATGCAAAGAAGAAAGTCCTCACCGCTATTAAACGATTCTTGTGGTACACATTAAAGCCTTGTACATCAATTTCTGGGGCGCCTTTGACAAATCCAATGGTGGTTATTGCAGATAGCTAATACAAACAATATGAGGAAGTTAATCACAGAAGAATCATGGCAAATTCAAACATTTTCTGGTAAGGAAAATAAAAACATTCAGTACATTGAAGATATTGCCAAAGTAGAGCATTGTGTAGTACATCAAGAGGAAAAAAAAAAGGTTCCTTTTGGTTGAGTAAAAACACAAGAACTGCTTAAGGATTTGGTTGGTCCATGCTATAGCCTTATCCAGAAGGTAGCATGTCAGGTATAAATATATCAAATAATCAAAATCTTGTTTTACCTAGCAGCTAAAAAGATTGTGTTAAAAAAACTTGCAAAACATAGAGCTAAACTAGGCCCTTTAGGACAAGCATTCAGGCTAAACTAGAAATGTGTGACAAGCATTTTAGAGTAGGCGTAAAGCGAGAGTTATGGTGGGATTTCCTCATGAATTATGATGCATGACCATGTCCAATTCTTAAATCTACTATAATCCCAAGCAAGGTAGCTACAAGAAATACCTCCCACTTCCTAGAGATGTGTAAAAATAAACTGTAAACACTATTCAAAAGCTAAAAAAAGAAAAGACACAGCCTGCCTAGCCCACACTTCAAAAGAATATTATATTTCACACTTTTTGGATATGACTGATCAGCGAAGAACTAGATAAACCACAAGTCTATCAAGATCAAGTACCCTTAATTTGCTATCTTTTTTGAAGCAATAATTTGCTATCAGTTGTCAAATGCAAGTATCGTAAAACAAGGACGCCAACAGGAAGTCAATAGTACAAGTCACCAACTAAAATAGACCATGATGCTTAGTCATAAGAGCAGCCAGTCAACAACATAGAGCTAATTAAACAGTTGACCATACTTAAGTCAAAAAAACAATTGACCAGCCAGAAAGTAGTTAATGAGATGAAACAAGTTCAGAAAAACAAGCCTGTAAGATGGTATCCCATTGATCAAAATGGGTGAAAATGCATAGTATTGCTTCACAAATGTGAGTTGCACGTACCTCTGCAAGCCCAGCAATTTGTGGTTTATACAACACGCATTCAGGATACATCAAATCATTTATTACATTATGTGATTCCACATCATGTCCACGCAAGACTATTCTGAAATTATCAGGAATGTGAAGGTACAAGACAGATGTGTATGCCTGTTCAAATTCAGATAGAAACAAAAATAAACATATCAGCACAATGAAATAGTAAAACTGATTTTAGCAAACTAGTAAATGGGGATCAATACTTAACTCTAAGAGAATAACGGAGTCGAGTTGAAACGTAGTTCTGTGTTGCGACCTTATCTGCCTTGTTGGTATTCACCTTCCTGTGTGCCCCAGTAATGAGGATATCCTAAAATATTAAATACGAATTGATCAATTACAACTTAGCGTAATACATACAGCTTATGTATAAACCAGTCATATAACTATATGAGAAAGTTGGAAGGAGGATGGTGTATCTGAAACGTGCCCACAAATGTGCCATGTGATTTGGTGGGGGTGGGGTGGGGGTTGGGGAAGTGCTTCCATACTTCACCCCCTTCGATAAGTTTTGCACGACTTGAAACACGCAATGAGTGGAACTCACCATTTATTTGTGCATTACAACTTTTCAAATTCCCACATACTGAAGCATAGAAGCTCCTAAACACATATCATTGGACAGCGCCCAATAGAGCCCTAAAATATGCCAGCATTACTTACCTTCTTATCGGAGTTGAAATCAAGCTCCATATCCCCATCATCATTGAACCAGAGGTTGAATACAATTATTTTTGTTCCATGCTCTCCGATATCATCAAACTGTATCAAGTAAAAATCACTTGAACAAACTAGAAAAAAAATCTCAAGTAGGATGATAAGATTGTTTTAAACAATGGAAATCTACCAAAATATATATAATATATGCTATAGAAGGGGAAAAGGAATTGATATGAACAAAGAGAAGTGTTTGGTTCAATTTTAAAGAAATGACCCGTAATGCATCAATAAATCTTTTGCCACAAATAATAGTCATAATTTTCAGCATAACATAAATTCATACCGTGTTTCAGTTCTGGTGTATGTATATTGCATTGAAAAAATGATCTTCAACCATTTCAATATTTTATTTACCAAAACTTCCAATGACTTAAAGAATTAGCAAAATCTTTTTTATAAGTCATTTAGGGGCTAAAGACTACTATACAGGAAACTCAACATATGGAGTTTCCTGCATGCACTAAAATATACATCCTCTTTTGTATCAGCCTGATGTATCGATGTATCTTCCATAAGAGAATTTTTTGCGTGCCCCTGAAATTCCAGCCCTTTCCTTCCATGCCCTTTCTCACTCTCTTCTATACCTCTGAATTTTGATTTTGATCCCTTCCATACCCATTACATCAGTTGACCGATTAATAGCTATGAAGAAGTCCATTTTGCCCTTAGGAAAGAAGAAATGTATAAATTCGTGGAGCATATTGTTCGAAGTGTTGGAGTTTGATGTACAAAACTATAAGTTTGTTGTGAGAACTATTATTCACAGCAAAGTTTACTTTTTAGATAACGACTAAGAAAATTTAATATTTGTCTTTCTAAAAAGAGTATATGTACAGCTAATTTTTATGCTATATATAATAGATTTAGCGTCTATTATTGACATTATGTACAAGAAATGCAAGACCAGTATCACTGTTTTGTACATTTTAAAAAAAAAATGCTACACATATTTTTAAAAACTATATATATATATATATATATATATATATATATTGAAATAAATTTGTGAAACACAGCAACATACAGCAAAGTTATGATATTATAGTCACACAACAAACTTCTATATTTCCAAAATACACTTCACAAAATTTCTACATTCTTTCTGTGTCCAAGCGTAAAACGGGCTTTTCCACTGCCATTAAATGGACAACTAATGGTCAATTGACAGAATGGATATGGGAGGGATCAAAACCAATATTCAGGGGTATATAATGAAATGACCAAAACTCAGGGGTATGGAAGGAATTGGCTGTAATTTCAAGGGAATACAAGGAATTCTCTCCTTCCATAACTTCTTCAACACGTTATTTATATAAATATCAGTATATGACATTATGTAACAAAGTAATGAAACTTTAGTAACATACTTGTTTGAGCAACTCAGCTTCACTAGCAAAAGGGGACCATTTCAAGAGGATCGCTAAATTTGAAGAGAAGAGCTTCTGATCATGACGCAGCATCTGAGTATACGAAGCTGTTGATATATCATACTGATAATCAACCTGCATGAGAAAGAGGGTGTCACAAGGGTGAAATAAAACTACACATATTGACCAATGATCACTCATTTTTAAAATGTCAAAGCATTTGTGAACCTACTGTTGGAACCAAAACATCATCGCAGCCAGTTTCCATCAAAAATGTGTATGAAAGAAGACCGATACTTCTTGTTGGCACCCTACAGACACAAAAAAGATAATTAAATAGATATATGAACCAGGGTGGACAGAAATTTTACATAATAAACCAGACTGGGCAAAAAGGCTTAGTGGGATCGGATGATAAATGTTTGACTGGCCAGCAGCATGCAGAAAGTAACATATAAAATGCATAATTCTCCTATTAGTTTTCACTTACAGTTGTTTCCAGATACACAATAAGAAAAGTTAAAGCAACTGTATGCAAACAATTTCTTCTAGAACCCACAGAATGAAAACGTTGCAAAAGGTTGTATGGCCACTTATTTCTTTTGACATAATGTTTAAGCACTTATAAGTCATAACTGCTGTTTGATTTTGCTTCTCTTCTATCCCTAAGCTGTGTTGTTAGATTTCCAGGTAGTCCCTCAGAGTTTATTACATTACAAAATACCATGGTGACATCACAGAATGCTTTTTCTGGTGTAACATTGAACAACCAAACTTCCAGAATTAGAAAAGGAGGTATACCAGTTATTTTGGTTTTGTGTAAAAACAATCACATCTGCTCCAAGCCTCATTGTGCTAGTTTTGAATCCATTTCCATCTGATACAACAAACAGCAGTAAATCCAAAAGAAGGGTTCTAGATATCAATTTTCCAAAGAACTGCAGAAAAAGTACACAAGGCTATACATTGCCCGATTAAAGCATCGGACTGCTTATCTGAAAATCCAAAGCTCATGCAGCGTCTCAGTGCCTCTGGATCCATTCCCCCTCCATCATCTAGCACATGTGAAAAAAACACAGGTCTTTCTCACTTATCCAATTAAGATTTTCTATGAACTTAGAGGATCTGCATATATTTATATTACTGAATCTGCCAACCTTGAATTAACAATGAGGAACTCCCATCTCGTGGGTTTGTAAATTCATTAACACGAACAAATGTTGCCCCAGTGTTAACCTGATAGAGATAGTGGGATAATAAATCATACATAATATCAATATATTTTAGCCATTGGAAGTTTGGAACTGGGTGCGCTTGTTAATTACCTCGTCAATTGCATTATCAAGAAGCTCGGCAATGGCTGAAAAAATGATAAGCATAATACTGAACATAAATCAGTGGGAAAATAGTGCCATATAATGCAATGCAATGTCCTAATATGATTGATTACTTTAAGAGAATAATATAATGGAACCGCAAATACCTGCATGACGGGTTAGGTTATAAAAACGCTAACACATTTTTATAGATACACAATAATATAAGTAGGTATATAACGGCCGCATATAGAGTAGTCCACTTGTTTGTTATGGTACCAGATCCTGAGCTCAAAAAGTAGAGCCGTGCCAGCAAAGACGGGCTTCACAGCGTTTTACATGGCAAAGACGATTTTAAATCCTCAAAAATAATCAAAACATGTACAATATTCAATTTGTTTATACTGAAGTTAATACTTCCTTAAGAAGTAAAAGTTTTATTTACTTTAGCCAAATTACATGTTTACAACTAGAAATTGATTGGTGCTGTTCGGCAAACAAGAAATATGATCCAATGCAACTAAATACACACTACACATCACAACTTCTTACTAAAGGAAATACCGTTAGTAGAAACTTGGTTGCAATTATGCGAACGAATGAACGAATTAAAGGTATTAGAATCAAGTCATTGCCTAAAATGGAGTTGTTTCCACTAATAAGATTTGTCAATTCTCATACCACCAAAAGCCCACTTGTGGGAAGTAGCATTCGAGTGCAGGAACCTGGGATTAATCCGAAGTCGGTTCCGCCCACCTGCACATACACCAGCACCGAATCGCAACCCCATATCAGTCAGCCTCTTCAAACCGTCAAACTTGCCTCCACCAAAATCCAAACGGAAAGCTAAGAAGCGAAGCGAAATGGGAGAACCCTAGGTGCTTAGCTAGCCTTAGCTTACCGGGTGCATCGGCGTCGGGGTTGCGCTGGGCGACGACGTAGTCGCCCGACTTCCAGAACTGGCGGCAGAGGCGCGGCGCCGGGAGGGCGACCTTGGTGGAGGGGGTGGACGGGGAATAGCCCGCGGCCAGCAGGGGCACCGGCGTCAGCACCGGGAGCTCCTCCTTCACGGGCACGAGCGCGCCGCTGCCACCGACGACGACGCCCGGTGGCTGGAGCGGGTACAGCAGCGCGGGCTTCACATCGACGAGCGCGTACGGCGTGACGTCGCGAGGGGACGTGGAGGGCGCGACGCGGCGCGCGGCTGCGGCTGCGGCGGCGCTGGTGCTGGGGACGGGCACCTCGTCGTCGTCGTCGCTGGAGAGATCGATCACATCGGCGGCGGCGGCGGTGGACCGCATCGCCGGCGAAGGGGGAAGCGGGTGTTTGTGTTTGTTAGGGCTACCTCTCTCTCTAAGTCTAGTGTGGGAAACGGAACTGGGAAGCGTTAAGTTTTGGGTGCGTTGGCAAGTTCGATTCGCGTGCCGGCGTGCGTCGTGTCATCCATCGTGTGTGCACGCTGATTTGTGCCGTGCGCCGAGCTTTTTTTGGCCTTTTAGCCTTTTTCCGGTTGGCGCTCCAAACACCGAAAATTCGCCCCCCACGCGCTAGAAATTATGGGGGCCGAGCAAAAAAAATTGTGTTGTGGTGCAGGCTTGCAGCTCTGGGAAAGAGGAAGAGAAGAGATCTATTTGTTCCTGCTCCAGCGCTCTGCGAAGGTGGTGCCGATGCTATCCGGGGTGTCTCAGATCTTTTTTACAAGATGGTATAATTTCGATAGGATAAAAATAATTTTGAAGAGAAGATAGGATAAAAATAATAACATATATTAAAACCATCAAAAGAAAAACGTAAACGTTGTGCATGGGAAAAGACGAAGCCAGAATAAATAGGCATGTCGATACGCACGTGGCCTTCACCCCGGCCTCACTCTTTATTTCTTCTCCTCACCTCTCTTTCTCATGTCCGCACAAGGTGGTGGAGCGGCGGCGGCTATGGAGGTGAATTCGACGGAGTTAAAAGAGAAGATCTGCAGTGGCGATGAAGGTTGACGGCTCCCCTCCCTCCCCCTCCCCCACTGAGGGTAGAAGAGGTAGATCCGTTGGCCGTGGGTTCAAGGAGCGGTGGATCGGGTGATCATGGTCCTCGGGAGGCTGCAGATCGACGCCAGGCCTCCTGCCGATAGCGCCTATGAGAACATCCCTCTCTCCTACTGTTGCATTTTATCGATTTGTGAATTTGAATGTGATAGAAATTATAACTTGTGAATTTTTAATTGTATTGTGGAATTCGAGATTGTGGATTTGGAGTTTATGTAATTGAGAATCTCACTAGCGGCTACTAGATTCGATTAGAGGCTTAATTTTGTGAATCTAATCAATATTCGCCAAAAGTTCTTTGCGTGGTTGCACAATGCTATCCAATCGTGTTAATCCACACAAAGCAAGTCTCTTCACCTGTAAAAAATAATTTCATAAGCGGTCTATGAAAATATATTTTCATGTGTGGATCAGCCAGCCACCTGAGAAATTTTCATTTTTCACGTACACTTGCTTCCAGGCTGGTGGGTGTGAAAAGTAGTTTTGGACTTTGGTCATTTGAGAAGATCAATTTTAGATGTAATGATGCATCTTTAGTTGCTTGTTTCGTTTCAGTCGGGTCAATTGAAAAGAAAGGGATTGGCAATCGTCACTCCATGCTAATAAACTTAGAGATGCTATGCAAAATATATAAGATAAATTACAGTTAGTACTTGAGAATTAATATGAAGAATGGTTATATATATGCTGGAAAGGTAATACATATTTAGGCACACGAATATGTGCTATGTTGCTAGGAGTGGAAAAGTGAAAAGATAGATAACTAATGATTGGATTAGATGGATAATAAGTAACTTCTTGATCTAACAGTCGCTATTTTTATACTAATGTGATATAATGACAAAAAAATGACAATGATGCGGTTTTATGCATATCTTAAGTTAATGTCTCTTAGTGGGTACCAATTGTATAGAAAGAATATGTTACATTAAGTGAATCGTTGAATGCTTAGTTGTATAGTAACTAACGATAAAGAGTAATAACTACATAATGATGGATGATGTGGTATACTCGAACAACTATATAGGATATATATATATATATATCTATATCTCAAATATCATGGCTTTTGAGATTTTTAAGCATGAATACTAAAGAGTAAAAAAAAACTATGGTTATCCTTATTAAATAAGAGGTGGGAGGGTAGTTGGGGATAAGGTTAGGTGGGATAAATTAGGGGTGGTTGGCTCGGAGTAGTAGTACTTAAAAGTTATTTATTTTTATGAAAAAATAAAGTAGTTGACAAGCAACAAGTATAATTAAAAGCAACTTGTTCTTTTGTAGTGCTGATGTAAGCGCTAACATCATCACTGATGATGACATATGCGATGATCTCAATGGTATGCTGACATAAGTGGTGGCATTTAATCTTTAAGTCCACAAGTTGGGTTTTTCTACTCCTCTAACCCAGCTAATTAACCGGTTCTATCTTTTGCTTATGTGAATATGTTCATTCCTAAATAAAACAACATCACACTACTAGAAATTTGTTGATCCATGATGCTTTCATGTTGACATTACTATTTATTGTCATGGTCGATGTTCAACGGTGACAAAATTATAGGACCGTCATACATGTAAGATTGTCGAGTCAAGGACTGGTAACGGTCGTTAAGTGCAAACTTTCCCTGTCAACTCCTACATAAAAGAATACAAAATATAATATCAAACTTAGTGGTAGGGGTTTATTACTAACAATTTTCACTAGTCTTGGTACATATTGATATGCAGGTGATTTCTGAAGGAAAACATACTCGCCATGCGACTAAATGTACCTCCAACCAATCATGCGCAAGCACAAGGATCAAAGGACCCACATGTCAGTCAAAACTAACTGAATTTAAGCTAATCCACTATCAACCGCTATAGAGGCCCACATATGATACACTGGAGAATGTCAGTAGCCAAAGGCGGTGTGCCTGGTTCGACTGAACCACGCCTGGCACCCCCAGCCACCTCCTTGCACGTGGCGACCCCTATTGGTTGGGGATGGCGGTTGTAGGTGCACCGACCTCCACAACTATCATTGCAACCGTCGTATGGAGGCTATAAAGGAGGAGCTCAACTCACTTCCAAAAACACACAACTCAAGTGGAGTACAACTCACTTTCATATTTTAGGCATCACTTCATTAAGTGGAATTAGGTAGAGAGTGAGGGAAAGCTCCGGAATCTCAAATATCGGAGTTTTCTCCGGGAAGTTCGGGAAGAGTATCGGGTTTGTCGACATTCTTCCACTGGAGTTCCGGAGAAGTGTTGACGGTCGTTAGCGATTAGTTTTGACCGTCAATATTACCAAAATAGAGGAGAACTAGTTATACTTGCAGTGCATATTTGTGTTAGAATAATAATATTCTACTAGTATTAGGTTTACTAACCTCTTGCAGAGAATTAACACAAAATGGAGGAGAATCGACATCAAATCAGACGATCAATCAATCGAACGATGTCGAGAATCAAACTTATCAATGAACGGGCCAAGAACTCATAAATGACACAACTAATTGGGCCAAAGTTCAAAAGCCTACGGAGGGGAGAAGTCCAGGAGGCCACCATCCAAATTATGGGCTGGTTGGGCCGGCACCTGGTTTGGCCGAACCCCCCTCATCGCTGTTGGATGCAGGGTTTCTCCTGGACGGTATAGATTGGCCCCCAATGACGGTTCGAGGGTATTTCCGACCATTCCAACCGTCATTGGGAGGCTATATAAACCCCTCACTCTCTCCATTTCAACACACACTCCAAGCAAAGCTCTCTCATATTCTCTCAAGTTTAGTTTAGTGCTCTTAAGCTAGTGGAGTAGGAATAGAATAGAAATCGGAGTCCAGAAACCTTCGAAAGAGTTTGAGTATGGCTCTAGTAGCTCTCCTTTCCTCTTTTGTAAGCTTTGTATGATGCGGACATCACTCCTTCAGATACACACAAAAATCCTCTAACGGTCATTCAAGGACCGATAACAAGAGCTCGCGCGCGACAATTGAATTTAGAGGTGAGCTTGTTCCTATGTTCTTCTTTGTACGAATTTGAGAATAGATTGCTACCTAATGATTATATTGTGATTAAGAACAATGTAGAGGACAAGGAGAAACTTGGAGAAGGACTTAGAGTCATGGAGGATCATCGAGGATGTCCAAGTCAAGGTGGAGGCCCAAACCAAGTCGACCTCGAGTGCAACTCGGAGTCCAGGACCAGTCTGCACTAAAACGGGCGCATAGGTCGCATACATGCTCGGATTGAGGCATTCTTTATATGGATGGAAAGCTAATAAGATACCTTTCCAATGGTTTTAGTCCCATGTCCAAATTCTTTCCGAGTCAATGGGAATCGACCGAACAAGTTGACATCCAGAATCTGTCCCGGTGCTGCGTCACCGTATTTGGGCCTTTGGGCCCTGTATCGTGTTGGAACCCATTAGGGTTGCGTCAAGAGGGGGTTGCACGACCCTAAACTCTATATGTCAGTAGCCGCCGTCACCTTTAGGGTTTGGGTTTTGCTTAGATTATTCTGTCGAGAACAGTTTTGCCGCTAGATCGGTTTGTAAGACCCCAACTTGTGAGCTTAATCATTCATCTGCAATTTTGGTTGTATTCTATCTCGTTCTTGTTTGTGTTCTTCGATTGGCAAACAGGGATTAGCCTTCTCGGCGAGGTCATCCACGTTTCGACACGGGTGATAACCAGAGGAGACGTGGTGCTGCGATTGCGGGGCTCAAGAGCGTGCGCGTTCAAGAAGCCGGATCGATTTGTGTCGCGACTCCGCCCAAATCGTAGTTTATCAGAACCTTTTGGAAGATCGGGAACCCTAGTGCACTTCATTGTACTTTATTTAGAATACTCTTCTTTATACATTTCTGGTATAGAAATACTTTCCGAGTATATGAATGCAAACTTTATATTATGTTCATGTTATACTGATTATACTGCTAGCTTATCTGGGAGATGCATCGGTACGGGTATAATGTTTGCTTATGCAATTACTCTATGTCATGACGATGATATTAGAGTAGTATTTGGTAGTTTAGGCGTGGTGTCTAGATTACGAGATATCATTATTTGGGGTTATATGCTGCGGATGAGAGGTGGGCCGCTGATGGTGGCAGCTCAGTACGGGTATTCCTCCGCGCGTGTATATAGTCTAAGTTAATTTCCTGGGGAGGGTACTCCTCCGTATTTAGCCCCGGTTGTATGGTCATGATGGTCTGTCGTAAGGAACTCGGCAGTCAGGGGTGGCTTCTCGAAGTACCAGGAGGGCATCGGATAGAGGGTATTAGTTAGTTAATCATATAACTAGAATGTATGTATACTATGTATACTAGAAGTATAGGAATAGATTCTCTTTCTATTTTCTTTCCACTTAACTTAGATATTTTAGTATGAGAATGAGTAGCT